TTCTTCTTCTTCTTCTTCTTCTTTTTCTTTTTTTTATTCTTCTTCTTCTTCCTTTTCCGTCATGAAACATGCACTGGAAATGGAATCTGGAATTTTGCGGGAGTTTCGGTTCATTTTCCACTTGAAGTGAAAAGGGTAGCGTCTATTTAGCAATTCGGAATCTGTGTTTGCAGGCTGCGAATGTTTGATGGAGTAAGCGTGTGCTCAAAAAGCCTACAAAATGAAGTTAAGTAAATCCGAGGAAAGCTCCTGGTATTCAAACCCCTTTTAGGCAACTTCTACCCAGACGCGTGGAGGTTACCAGGCCCACACATCTCCATCTGATCGATTTAAGACCTTCATTGCTGCCTCCCGTTGCCCCGAGAGCAGGTCGCGGTAAACGCAAGGCCACCAGCCTAATTCTGGTGGATGATCCCATCGAAATGACAACTGCTGACCTCCGAGCCAATTTAACTGATGCCAAAGAATTTCTGCTGCGAAGAGCTGATGTCCTTGCTCCACCGTCAAGTTTCACTCATCCACGACGTCTCCTCTCACTCAGCGTTCCGCGGTTGCTGGCCCTACCTGCTAATTGGGAGACGGCATTGAGTGTGTCTTTAGGAGATGTAAGACCACCAGCCTGTATTTAATCCTTTTTCAAAGTGCGGTTTTTTCTTTCTGTTTTTTTTCTGTCCGGCGAGGTTATTTGAACCATCTGTACCATCACTTAAGCACAAATTTGAAAATCCTTAAATAAAAACAGGTTGTTTTTAGTGGACAGAACTCAAGTCAACGAATATACCACACTCACAATTAGGGAAATGAAGCAACGTTTAACATCGAGACCAGGATTGTGACTAGTCAGGTTGTTAAAACCTACCCTGTATCAGCTCATCACTATATAAGCCTTTCGTTATCAGCCAACTCGCATCAGGCAACATTATAACACGCGTCTAGCGGTCAGACACACTCACTCGATGCCAGCAGGAGAATAGACACTACGCTCTGACGATGAAAGCGAGAATGTTTTCGAAACGTCAGCTTAAATACAACTGCTTCTTCCTCTTCCGAGGATGGTGAAAACTATATAGACATTGACTGTACAACGTTCTTCGTGTCTTCTCCAGATAAATTGATTAGGAGTGTGATTCAAAGTCTTCCGCCAGATTACGCCCCCGCTTTAGATTCAAAACCTCAGTGTGTCTTTCTCCCTCCCCTACCAGTGCTGGAAATCCAAAAGACGTCTTTGTGAGGCCCTGTCTCCCATTGATCTGCTGGAAGTGGAGCGTCCGCAACCCTCAAAGTCGAGCCTGGAAGCCGTGCGTGAATCGGACTTGGAGGCCTCCAAAGAGGAGGCCCGTGCACATGGCACATCCTCTTTCCTCCTACCCCCCTCCGTGTCTTCCCTCATTGGAGCAAGCGCCCTCGACATGACTATCCAACAGGTAGGTCTAATGACTTGTCTGACGCGCGCCCCGCTTGCAGAGTGCTCAGGAGGCCAAGGAAACCAGCACAACTGTTTCTGCGGAGGCAGGACAGCCGTCCAAACGGCCGGTCATTCTCGAAGAAGAGGAGGAGCAGCACCAGCAGGAGAAAGTCAAGAAGCCTGTAGAGGCAGTCACAGCGCCCCCGGTGCCGGTGGCGGAGGAATTCCCAACACTTTTAGAGACAACTGTACAACCTCCCCAAGAAATGCCTGAGGAACCTCCACTTGTTGGTAAATTTTCGTCGTTTTTTTACTGTACTAAATTCGGGTGCCAGTTGTCATTTGCTATTTGAGGCTGGGATTGGATTTGCCCAAAAAGCCTTCGGGAAACGTCCATATATATCATTAAGGTCATGCAGAGATATTCTGCAAACTCTGTTGATCATGCGTTCCATTTAAGCCCTTCTTCTCGCACTGACTGTGGGCGGAAAAAAAGACAAGATGGCTAAGGATATAGATTGAACTGGAACAATAAAAGCAGCCTCCACTGGATGATTTGGAGACCCTGATTTTATTTTTCGAGCGAAACGACGGTTCAGTAATGAATCCAACGGTTAGGCCAGCGTAACTGTTTGACTCACTTATCCCTTAACTCGTGGTCTTCAGTTACCTCTTTTAAAATTTGATGTCGCTACATCTGTGGCTTATTTACTGTAGGTGCAGTCGCAGCTCCCCCAGTGCCGGTGACTGAAGAATTTCCAACACTTTTAGAGACGACTGTACAACCTCCCAAAGAAATGGCCGAGGAACCTCCACTTGCGGGTAGGTTTTTGTCCTTTTTAATCGTACTAAATCCGGAGGCCAGTTGTTGGGGTTGAATTTGCTCGACAGGAAAACCTTTGGGAAACGCCCATGTATATCATTAAGGTCATACAGAGATATTCTGCAAACGCTGTTGACCATGCACTCCATTTAAACCCTTCTTCTTGCGCTAACTATGGGCAGAAAAACAAGATGGCCTAGGATATAGATTAAACTGGACGAATAAAAGCAGCCTTGACTGGATGATTTAGAGACCCTGATTTGGTTGTTTTTCGGGCGAAGCGACGATTTAGTCATGAATCAAAAGGTTAAGTCAACAAAACTGTGTGATTCACTAATCTCTTAACTTGTGGTTTTCAACTATCTCTTATTTGAATTTTGATGTCGCTACATCTGCGGCATGTTTGCTGTAGGTGTAAGCGTAGCGCATGTCTTTCATAATTTCTTTAAAACGATCTCATTTGGTAGACAATTCACAAAGGATGACGACAAGGTGTGTTTTTTGAAGGAACCAAATAGCAAACCCCGTGTTCAATAATCCTTCTGTTTGTTTTCAGTAGGTTAAACAATCTAAAATACTAGTGGAATTTGACTGGAAGTGCAATTCAATGGTGATCGCGCCTATTTTCGGTCTAGAGCCTCGGTCCAACTTTACCCTATTAGGAAAGAAAATTCAGGAGTGTTTGCGCAAACTCGCTTTAAAAGCACATCCTGCCTATCGCTGGGCTCGAAGCTTACGCCTTAACTGGAGGGTGGCAGCTGTTTTGGCCGTTTTTTGATTGGTGTATCCACACGCCGCCCAGAAAGCGGAGTTCCGACCATACGCCGTCTATCAGCGTGAATCATGCGCTGCCTAGGCTGCCTTTGTTGTAAGCCTGTTGACAGCGGACTGATGAATCATTTGTCGCATGCGCGCTATCAGATACTACAGGCCTTTTACAGTTGACTACGAGCTCTTAGTCGACTGTTCTGCTTCAGTTGAGACTACTATATCTTGACGCAGACTCAGAATCTCACTCGAGCGAATAGAAGGTATATCTCAGGCTATTTGAACACGGTCTGGGCTGTAAAGTCACAAAAGTAATATTGTAGGGTTAAGGCATAGTGGAGACGTTCACTGTAAACGGCTCAAAGTTGCTTACAGTATTCTCAAGGAAACGAATAGTAGCGCCGGCCGTTGGGGTCTTCACTCGCCGACGCAGTTGATGTCATTCATCCTAGTCCTTTTACTTGCTAGGAAAAGTTGTATGGAGTTTCTGATTAATTACTTTAGGTAAAAAGACGTAAACGTAAAGTTTGCCTGAATGACTGACTGATCGATCGCCGCATGACGCACGGAGTTTCACAGCCTCGGTGACTTGCGACGCATCTGCCGCACTCTCTTTCCTCACCAACCCTGCTTCGAGGACAAGGCGATGCCAAGAAGATTGGAGCTTGATATGGATGCCGTGACTGACGAAGCTAAACAATCCATTTATACAGTTCACATTATATGCACTAGGCCACAATAAGGGTGGCTAGGTTCGCACGTAGGTGATATTTCCACCTAGGCTGCATTAAGGAGCCATTGTAACCTGACTTCCAGCCCCGGAGGCACTATGGTAGATGGCGCTCATCGATTGGTTACAAGATTCACTCGTCCCGTTGTGCCGTGGGGCTCGCAGCACTCGGAGTTGGTTATGGCTGGCTGATGGCGGCTAATA